GGAGAGTGAGTGGTAATGGGATGGACAGAGTCTGGCAGAGGTGGGACTTGAGCAGAGCCTGGATTTCTGACAGCAAATTTATGAACTTAGTGTCCATCCCTGCCTTTTTGTAGTTTCTTTTCAAGCTTACATGGGATTACCTTTCTGGAGGTGCATTACCTATAAGAAATATGAAGTTCTTAGAGAAATGTCTTGAGTTTTTAAAGACACGTTCTTACAAATCCAAGCACATGCTACTGGCTGCTATTTGGTGAGCAATTCTATAGTTCTGTGTGGAAACTGAGCATGGATTTGAGAAAAATCTGTGGAAGATGTTAAGCAAATATTTTCAGAAGATTATACTGGTTTGTGATCTCAGGGTGTTTTTTTTGTTTGTTTGTTTTGCATCAAAATATTCTAGGGAATGTTGTAAAGTCCATTTTTTGTTATATTTACCATCAAATTTTTGGGTTCCTCGTACTTGAGAGTGTGAAGGTGAATACTTGAGAGCTCTCTGTTTAATTGGAGTGACCTATATTTATCAATAATACATGTGAATACATTACTTGGGCTGTCATTTTGTTAAGAGAAAGAATAGAAATAATAAAGTAGCAAGTTCAGTGTCTCATACTCAGTCCATTGAAAAAAAACCCAAACAAACTTTAGAGAGGTCTTTGTAAAACCATAGAAATGCCTGAGCTATGACAGCAAGTGAAAAGCAAGAGCTGAGTATTGTCTAGACACTATGGTAACAGCCTGAGGCCAGAACACCTGGTCTTGAACGTGTCTGGTCCCCCCAACTCACATCACCATGCTGGGGGAGACTCAAGCCTGGACTGACTGAAATCAAGAACCAATCCAGGAAACCCAGTAAAAGTATAAGTGTTTTCTTGGTTTGGAGCCTGATATTGAAAGACTGCCAAAGGACTGAATATGTCTCTGTGGTGCTATAAAGCACTGAGAACATTGTTGGGTATTATCAGATAATAGTAATATTTTATTAGGTGGTAATAGTATGCAGGCTACAAATGTTTATAGAATAATATATAGTAGAATAATTTTGGTTGGAAAAGACCTTTAAGATCATTGAGTTGAACCATTAACCTAGCACACTGCCAAGTCCACCATTAAACCTTGTCCCTCAGCACCATGCCTACATATCTTCTAAATAAATCCAGGGTTGGTTACTTGACCACTTCCGTGGACAGCTTGTTCCAGTGCCTGACAAACTTTTCAGTAAAGAAATTTTTCCCCATATCTACTCTAAACCTTTCCTGACACAACTTGAAGCCATTTCTTCTTGTTCTATTGGTTGTTACTTGGCAGAAGTGACTGACACCCACCTCACTACAACCACCTTTCAGGTAATTGTAGAGAGAGAGAGAAGGTCTCCCGTCAACTTCCTTTTCTCCAGTTTAGTTTAGGTGTGAACAGCTAACTTTAGTACTCCAGTTTGAACATATGGCTCTGATTTTCTTCTTCTTCTTTTTTTTTTTTTCTTTTTCCTTTTCAAAGTGATGCTAAAGGGTACCTATCTCAGTGGCACATGTTCAACTGGCATTTAGAGAGAGTACTGGGATTCTTGGCTGTGAAGCTCTGTGTAGGTGCAAAGGATTATTGGAGTGCTTTAACTCTGTCTTTGCCCAAACATAGGTACCATTCTGTGCAGTTTGATGAGCTCCCCAAATGTGCTGATCTGCAATACAAATGGTTGGAGTCCATCACTAACATCTGTCATAGGTGGGATATGTAAAGGTGTGAGCTATGATGAAAAAGAGAAGATGTTTTCCTTCACCCTTGGAGGACAAGTGTTCAGTGGAAGTATGTCAATGAATTATCTCAATTTAAATTACTTTTATTGATTTCTGTTATAGATTCTGCCTTTTTTTATCAGCTTGCTCTTGTACTTCAGTGCTTTTTTTCTCAAGCAAATCCAAATCTGTACAATAGCAACAAAATAAGAACTCTCTAATTGGATGTGTTGTTGCATAGATGAACCTCTCATGTTTTACTGTTTGAACATTAATGAAAGTAAAGAATCTGTTTAGTTCAGATTGCTTCCAGTAGATTAAATATTTCCAGTATTTAATTCAGACAGATTCAAGCAAATAAGCTGAAAGAAAGGTAAACTCTGGAGCAAAAACAAAAGGAGAGGTGCCCAGAGCTGCACAGGAGAAGCAGTGACAGAAAATAAAGCAAAGCTTTCGCACCCTGGACCCAGACCAGCATCAGGACACCTGAGACCTTCTTCCTTGGTGTCTTATTATTGTGAATAAGATGATCATAGTCTAATGATATGTTTTTAATGCATCTTCTGAGCATTTCTATACTACCTGTTCAGTTTGAGCAGCCCTTCTAACAGACTTTTTTCTTTCTTAGCTTCTAAGTTGATGGAAGAAGCAGAAAGAAATTTTACTGCCTTTCAGCAAATTTACCTGTGGAGAGGTGAGTTATCTCATAGAAGTTGTAACAAAAGGTTATGGTCAAGTGTGGGCAGTAGCAGATGTGTGTTCTGTAATGGAAATGTCATTCTCACTTTATTTTACACTATCCAAATCCTGACACTACTTTAAAGTCTTTTCTGATAGGGGTGGGTGTAATCTGAAATAATTCTGCTACTGTCAGTTTAAGGAAATTTGGGTAAATTCTTGTGCTTTATAACTTTTAACACCTGTGAAAAATGCTATAATGGAGACACTTGCCTTTGTCCCATCAGTGTTCAGTTACCATAGTATTTTGGCACATTATATGCAATAAAAGGGTTACTTTTGTTAGCATAACTATTTATATGTTGTTTCTGCAATTTTACCCTCTGAATGCCACAACTTGCATAACAGGACCTGCACAAATGATTTGAGATAGTGCTTTATAAATGCATACAGCCTCCAGAGCTCTGCTGCTGAATGGCACCATGATTGTGGTTATGGCATCTAGTTTTATCCTTCAAACAGCACCTTTTGGTTTAGGTTTTCCACAGTTACATGCAGATCTTAAAATCATAGAATAGTTTGGGTTAGAAGGGACCTTAAAGGTCATCCAATTCCAATCCCCTGCATGGGCAGGAACACCTTCCTCTAGACCAGGTTGCTCCAAGGCTCATCCAACCTGGTCTTGAACACTTCCAGGGAGAGGGCATCCATAAGATGGTTTTACTAATTTTTGAGTCATCATTTGGTCAAGTTGAGCTACTTAAGAAATGGAGCACTTCAAAATATTTGCTAAATTTAGGGAACTAAGGATAATACTGTCGAGTAGAATAAAGATAAAGGGAATTACTATGCTCTTTAATTCCTGTTGCATTTCAGGCTCTGATATGGTCACCCAGACTAAAACCTCTGCATGCAATGCTACTGCTTTGAAGACAGAGAATGATCTGACATTATCAGGTACTACAAGTAGGGTGGACAGAGAAGGCAACAGAAGATAACGGAGAGGGAGTATCGAATGTGACCAGAAAATATTGCATATATGCATCATAACAATGCAAATATTGGGAAGTCTGGCAGGTTTCTCTTAGGTAGAAAGTCTGACACAGGTTTTGAGAGAGATGTGAAAAATATAAACCTTCTGTCTTTCTATTTTTCACCTTCCTAGACCAGGCTGAAAATGAAAGTGTTAAAATGTTCTGTGAAAGCCTGTTTCTTTCAGATATACTGAATTGTAAAGACCCAGGGAATATTTTGTGACTAAGAAAAAAAAATAAAAATCACATAAACCCAGGAATCCAATCCTTAGCCTGGGTGCCTGACCATATGTGCTGTTACTGACAATGTGACTATAAATATGATGCTTTGAGGAACTCAGGATGAAACTGCAATTACAAGTCTTACTTCCATTCATTATGAAAATGAGGGATTATGAAGTTCTTTGGCTCCTTTGTTACACTAGGATCTGCTCTTAATTGTACTAAGTCATATCATAGAATCATAGAATCCTAGGGGTTGGAAGGGACCTCAAAAGATCATCTAGTCCAACCCCTCTGCCAGAGCAGGGTCACCTAGAGTACATCGCATAGGAATGCATCCAGGTGGGTTTTGAATGTCTCCAGTGAAGGAGACTCCACTCGTATATATGTCCAAAATAATTTATATGAAGTTATTAGATTTCCTTCAGGCCTTGAGCATCATAATTGTAAAAGAGAGCACTGGAGCCTGCTGAGAACACTTTAGTTCATCTTTAATGATCTGTAGTCTTTGCTGAGGAGCCTAGATAAATAGCTGAAGATGTGATTTAATACATGTAAAATCCTAACACTAAATGAATTCCTGATTTTGTTTATCTAATTTGAGTGGAAGGTGAACTAAGATGCCCATTTAGCTGGTGGCGCTCATGTACAATTGGTCATATCTTAAAGTCTAAACTTAAAAATGAGAAAAAAATACACTGTTGAGTTTACCTGCCAAGGCAGCCCTCAGGATTCTCCATTTCCTTGCTGTGGCCAATGATGTCATTAAAACCTGAACTTATGAAAGGAGTTCATCTTCTTCCTCCATCTCTTAGTCTGAAGTTAAACCTAGAGAGGTAACAAGTCTTAGAAAACACTTTTTAAAAAAGGCTATGGATACATCCGGGAAAAGGTCTACAGAGCTTTTATTATCTGATGATTATCCTTAAAGCACCTGGTAACATATCTTTTCTGATAGAAAATTCAAAGCTATTGTACACTCCTGGCATGTCAGTAGGTGCCTCAGCAGTTCCGGTGCAATCATCAGCATATCTTTACTTTCCTGTTTTCATTTTTGTCTGGCAGCTTCAGGGCATGTAAAATTAAATAACAGAATCTCTCACAATGTTGGTGTAACGGGAAATGAGACCTGGTGCTGTCATTTAATAAATAAAAAGATGTTTATGAAGAAATTTTTAAGAGATCAGTGAAGACGGTTCCTTTCTTTCAATATTGGACACTTATTTAAAGGAATTAATTTGAAAACAGCCTAAAATAACAGTGATCAATTGTTTCAGAGGGAGCTCAGGAGATGTCAGGCAGTGCATGCATGTCTAAAGATCACAGGCAGGTGACAGAAAGACATTAATGTGATCTGTGGGAGCATAAACTAGGAGAAATAAGATTAAATTGCTGAAATAGGTAATAAGCTTGTTAGAAAACATAACACTGAGAGGCACAAAAGCTTCTCAAGGGAATATAAGGAAACTGCTGTATTTTGGATTAATAAAACTAGATTATTAAGGTGCTGTAAACATCCTTTGAGGCTTCATACTTCCCTGTTAGAATGTTGTGTTGCATGATGGAGGAGAGAGAGAGTTCTTGTTTCTAGGAGCTGTGATTTTCATCTAGTTTTTAGTCATGGAAATAGTCTGACAATGCTGTGTTGTGCAGGGCAGCTCAGCAAGGAGGTGTTGCCTACACAAGCATCAACAACTGTGGCTGGACAATTTTGTTATTAAAAGCAGCCTTTCTGTGTACAAGCCCTATGAAACTGTTGCAGCTGTTTTATTGTGACAGGCAGAATTTTATTTAAAAATACATTGAATTTAATTAAGTTGTGGGTTTTTTATCAGTTTGAGCAGTTTGTTTTTTTGAATCTCAGATTCCACCAAGGATCTTTTCTACCTCATGGACAACAGCCAGATACAAAGTGACCAGAACTATTCTCTCCCTTATCAGCAGTACTGGATCTTCAGGCAGAAGTACTCAGCAGAGGAAGCTGTGCTTTGGTGTCTCACACGTAAGACACATCTTGGAGACTCTTATTCTGTAGGGGATAGTAACTAATTAGAATATTTTAGTAGGTATTATAATCATTATAAGTAGAAACTCTTGACTCAGAGATTTTTCAGGAAAAACACGCAGAATTTTCATGAAAGTTGTTACTGGGGCCACGTGTTTCTTAAGATCTTTGTCTGCTGTGGCAGAAAGGGTACTCACCATTCCTCATCATGGTACCCCTGTTGTGGGATACAGAAGTAGTAGGTAAAGCTTAGGCACTACTCTGCTGCTATTGACATGTACCCCTGCAAACAGATGGATGACATAGTGTTAAAAGGGGAAGGTAACATTCAGATGTTCAAGTTAACGATAAACTATATTTTGATGTGGTAAATGGAGTTTCTAGCTCTGACTACCAGGAAAGCAAAACTGAGAGCACTGAACCATGCACAAACATCACTACAAGAGGTCAGTAAAGCTAGGACTGTTTAAAATGAAGCAGCAAGGTATATATTTGCAGAAGCCATTGCCACTGTAATTAAGAAATGGGGTTGACAGCATTTTTTCTTCTCTGAAGGTGCATTATTACCCTGGAGCAAGTTTCAGTGCAAATTCCTACAAGCAAATGCTTAAACTATTGATTCTGGAAAAGTTATTTATTTTTTTCTTTGTCATGTATGATGACTTCAGAAATATTTTTTTTCCCAAAACTTCCTAAGATATTGTAGGAAATACTTTATTTTATTGTCCTTTTTATCCTTTAAAGTAAGAGGCCTCCCATTGATGCAGTAATTTTATATACAGTTTGTATGTCAAATGAACTAAAAGACATGGGAGAGTTCTGTGAATGGCAGTAGTAGAGTGGCACCCAGACATGAGGATAGACAAGAAGAGGAATAGAGAAGGAAGAAACCCTCATGTGTGTGTAACTCTTCGTGACTTTGCTTCCTAGGTTGTGCAGAAGAAGAGGAATTCTGTCGAATGGCAGATCTCCAAAGTGCCCCAGACATGTACTTTGTGTGCACCCTCTATCCAGAGGCACAGATCTGCGACAGCAGCATCGATCAAATACCTGACGCCTGTCGAACCGTGCTGCCCTGGCAACCACAAACACTGTATCATAAAATAGGCAAGTCTGGGGATTTGACTGTGTCATCTATACTCTAACCCTGGTAATACAAGCTAGTGCTTTGGCTTTTGATTCTGAGATAACAAGTCTGAATGTATGAATGGGTCCTGAGGCGTGATGGTGTAAGGGAAGGCCGAGCTCTTCTGGGCATGTTTTTTCATTTTCAGTTCAGTGTGGAAAGATACTAACCACAAGTTCTGCTCTCTACCTCATTAATTCCCAATTCAGAGAGGCCAATTGTAGCTCAAATAATTTTTATACCAGGTCTTAGATCTTTTTATAATATGGGTGAAATGAGAATGTCATTGGGATGTCACCAAGCCCATTTTGTATCATTAGAATTTCCATGGTGGTTAAGCAGTGCAAAAATTGAAGTTGTTGACTGTTATGTAGAGTGGGGTATTTTGTTGTGGTTGTTCTGGGTTTTTTTAGCAAATCCAGAGTTATTGACATGTGGATTTTAACTTCTACTCTTTGAACACTTGGGAAGTTCAGTGATTTTCTCATAGGGCTCATGGGAGGAAGCTGGACAAACCAGCCTGTTATCTGTACAGATGCCTGTACTTTTGCTGTGAAAAATGTAGAGGTCCTCTTAACTAAATTATTAAATTGTGTCTTTTTGGGGAGCCTACAGTGCAACACAAGTTGACTAATGCATGAATACAGTGGAATCCTCCAATATGGAGTTGTCCCTTAGCTTTTGGACCCTGCAGAAAGACTGATGTTGATAAAGGTCTCAGAAGTAGAAGCCCTGGGCTGGAACCTTCGTGATTTACTTTGCTCAGCTTTTAGAGCCTTCACTTACTGGATTTCTGTTAATCTCCAGGCTTCACCATGAAAAGTTTAATGTGATAATATAAAATTACCTTTTATTAGGTCAGGACCACTGTAGCATAGAAATATAAACTTAACCCTTACCATATGATTAAATGGCCAGTAGATGTAAATTATAAGTTAAGCTGATTTTTCCAATTTTGTTTTTCTTTTCCTTCCAGTCACTCTAAAAAGTTCTGTCAAGAGCTTCTACATACGTGTACCATTCCAGAAAGTAACAGGGATCTCCGTGAGGAATAAGACTGATATGAGCAGAAAAGCTGTTTCAGATGGGTAGGACATGACTGTTACTTTGTTTTTACTGGACGTATAGCCATACTTGGAATGCCAAGGCCCTGTTACACAGGATGAAGGGTATCAGATGTATTGATCCAAGAACAGCATTATTTGAGAATAGTTAATGAAATAAAAATGTCATATGATTTAAAGGAAATATATAATTGTGTTATAAAAAATAATGTCTGTAATTAGTAATTACATGTATGTGAATTATACAGCTATTAAACTGCTGCTGGGCCAGACAAATCACTTGGCAATAATATATGAAATTAATTTAAGCTGGTATTTTTAGTACAGATATCAAAATAATAATCTAAGTTATTAGATGTAATCTGGTAGATACATATAGTTCAAATGTAATACCATCTGCAAATGGAAAATATATTGAAGTGTCTGTGCATTGTAACCATAAAGCAGTCTTATAGTGATGGCACCTCCACAGCTTCTCAGTGTCTTTTCCCTCTGCAGTGTCTCTTCCCTTCTCCATGAAAGACACAGATTATTAATAACACTAAGAGTAATGATGTTTTTCCTTCCCCAGCTTTTTTGAGTGTGAGCGTTGGTGTGATGCTGACCCTTGTTGCACGGGATTTGGCTTTTTTAATGACTCCCAGTTATCAGGTATTTTTTTCATTATTTTTTTTTAATTTTAAAAATAATCTTAGTCTCCATTATTTCAAGCTATGCCATCCTTTTGCTGTGGGGGGCACTTTAAAAACCCTTGCAGATCTCATGCAACTCTGTTTAGCCCCTATTTGAGTAACCATAACCATTTCTAGGAGCTCAGCCCAATGACAAGCTCCACAGCTCAGAAATTATTAAGAAAGCTTCTTGAGAGTGAGTCTGTAGGAGTCTGCAATTCCAACAGCATGAGATTGAAACTGATAAAACTCCAGGGAACTGTTACTTCTCATTTATCAGCCCCTCTTCCAAAATTATGATTGACTTCTTTTGGTGATTTTAAAAAAAATAGATATAAAAAATATTTTTTTTATTTTTAAAACCTAAGGGACTTAGAAATCTAAATATGACTGAAATTAAATGCATATTAAGGATACTGGATGGGGCAGCTTAGCCTTTTGACTGTCTTGGGTGTCTGAATTTCTCTGCTCCCAAATTTTAGACTTCTACTTGAGGAAGATTGGTTGGGGTTAGAGGCTTCCTATCTTCTCCTTAGTATTTTAGACATTTCAAGTAGGGTTTCTGTTAGTCTGAGGAAATCAGATCTGTAAAAAGATGAGTGACTGGAAAGCCATTAGAAAGTCAAACAAACACTTTTTACTCATTGGAGATAGCTTAAGTAAGGGGTGTTATCATCCTATAGTCGGCAGAGAGGTGGGGTCATTAAGAGCTCTGGTTGACTGAATCCTGTTCGGGGGGTACTTTGTTTTCTCTCCAGTGGCTGCAAAGGAAGTGCTCAATTAAAAACAAAATCTTTAGCAGGTGTTTAAAGTTGGATGCCACCCAGGTCAATGCCAATGAAATAGTTTTTAGTATTTTATCCCAAATTCAGACTTAGGCCACTAAAATGGCTTACCTTGGTTTTGTAAGTGTCATGTGCTAATCATCTCTCCCTGATGTCAGAAGGACATGCTGGTTTTACAATTCATTTGGGAATTTGCAGCACTTCAGACACATCTATGTTTAATTTCCTTTTTTGTTAAGCAGAAAAAGTTTTCACTCAGTCGAAAGGAAGTAGCTTGGAAAACTAATCCAATGTAGTTAGGATTGAAGTTATTTCTCAAATAAAAAATGGTTGACAGTTTTCATACTTTCATATCAACATGTAAAATTTGAAGTTTTAACTGATTATGACTTTAAATTTCTTTAAATAACTCTAAAATGAATTAAGGATTCAAAAGCACTGAAGGTACAAAACTGCCACCTCTTAGTTTATCTGATTAGTATTTATTATCTGTGGCATTTCAACCATCCAGTGCTGATACTCTTACAATCAAGGGAACTTTCATTGATGGTTCTAATACGAGCTAGGATGAATCTTCAATGAAACTGCCAACTCTGTCTCAAACCCTCCATTATTTTTTTTCAGGTACAGAAATATTCACAGTAGGTCTCTGAAAGGTGGAATTTCTGTCTTGATGAGCAGGGGCCATGTTTCAACATACATGCAGATTTTTAATTTCCAGGATTGCATTAACCAAAAAAGGCTGCTTGCTCAAAGAAAAGGTCCTGATCTTTGCTCAGTGGAAATATTCCTAGTGACCTTAATGGGTTAGAATAGTGGTGCCCACCTTTCCTCACATTGAATTCATTGTGATTTTTCAACACTATTTTCAACAATAATAAAACTTGGTCCATTTTAGGTATTTCCTTCCTTTTATTTCTAAGTCAGTGGAATTCCTTTTAACACTCAGCAGGAGCATGCTGTGTTCAATTGTCTCAAAATACCATCTAGAAGAGGAAAATGATCTGTAACTATGTATTTCCCTGCCAGGTGGAAGGATCGTGTGCGTGACGCTGAACAGCCTCGGAATCCAGATGTGTGCTGAAGAAACAAGTAGTCCTTGGCAAGTTTCAGATTGTAGTTCACCAGATGCTGAAGTCAGAATACACCCATTTGGCTGGTACCAAAAGCCTGGTAAGCAATGCAGGACACATGGCCTGTCTGACCATGTTTCTGGTCTGTTTTTTGCACAATGAAGCTTATTAATTAATTTAGATGTATATGAGCTTTCAGATGGAGGATCCATTTTCAAGGATTCCAAATAAACAAGGCAGACAAGTATGTGCAAGAGAAAGAAAGGTGCGACTCAATTCAATTATAAAATAAAAGGAATAGAAATACTCAAAAGAGTTATAATCTAATTTCTTAGGTTTTATGGGAGACTTGTGTCCAATATATTTTGTCTCACTGCACAGGAAATAATTCAGTGTTTCTCACTGCTTGGCTTATGCTTTAACAGTGTGTGTGTATGCATAACTTCAAAAGGTTTGGTTTTGTTATGGAATTTAAAATTCACTTTTGGCTATTTTAACAAAAAAGATGCAAAGCCAAATTCTAAGGTAGCACTATATTCTTCCTGCAGTTAGGGGCCATAGTATGTTTAAATGGAAAAGAAGTTATGAGAGGTTAGGTAATTTCATCCAGAGGAATCAGAAAAAAGATCTAGTCAAAGTTAATTTTCTTTTCCATAACAAAAATCTCCATTTCTTTGTTGAAAAATATCAATAGATTTTGTCACATTCTTCATGAGTGGCTCTTTTTCTACTTTGTTAAACTTTGAGTTAACATAACTGAAAGAATAAGGAGAATGAACACCCATCTGAATGTATCCCTCTGTGGGAGGATGGCCAGTGACTGAGCCCAACTGGGCAGAACCTTGTTGAACTCTTCTGAAGGCAGCGAGGCCCCATGGGGGCAAATCTGGTGATGCTGACAGAATTAGGGGAAAAAATGAATAAGGAATACATTTTTCTGCTTTTTAACTCCCTTAGTTCTTGCACAATGGAGAAGGACCGGTATCCAAGTGGAGAAAGGAAGCATGAATTGTGGATATATGCTGTCCAGGGCATGTGATGTAACAATAATCCCATTAAGCTTTGTGTAGAGCTAGGTCAGATATCCTGCTAATGCATTGCCATTTACAGTGTTACAAAATGTAAAGAAAACTCTAGTTCCTACTGGAATATCTGAAATATGGACTTGATCCTGAGCTTTTCAAAATCCTATGCTGGCACTCTGCCCACTAGATCATCCATTTCCTGCACCAGTTGGGCAACCTTTGTTAAAAAGGAGACAAAGCACGGAGCTGAAAGGTCACCAAGGAAGTTTATAGGGTTTTCCTAATCTTCCATTTGGGCTTGGGGAGGGAAGGGCTGTGGGTCTAGCACTGAGAGGAAGGGAACAAGAGCCCTGATAAAGAAGTCAATGGCAGGAGCACGTGGGCAGCCAAAGCTGAGAGACAGTCAGGGGTAAGAGTGACAAACTGTAGAAAGGCAAAGTGAAGAGGAGATGGTGGAGGTGCAGATGCACTTCCACTTCTTGGAATAGTTTTTCCTTTCACTGGCAAAGAATTAACAAAAAATAAAGGATGTTGCTTACTTCACACACAAGAGGATGATGAAGAAGAGCCTGGGGTGTAAGAAAAGAGGATCATGTTAGGAGATGGTGACATTGCCTTATGAAGTGAGGAAGCTTCAGATGTGTTTCCACCACAACACACAGCAAGGCACAGATGTTTATGCAAATAGAGATATTTACAGAGAAAAAATTTGTATCTGCTGTGCTGCTGTGTTGGGGGTCTGGGAACCAGGAAGAGGAACAAGAAAGCTCTGAGACTGAAAGGGAAAAATGAATGAAATCCGAAGGAGGAATTTACCATAGGCAGTGGGATGTTAGTATGAAGCAGGGGGCTTTGGTGTTAGTCCATGATCTTGATGTAGGAAGGTAATTGTGTCTTGCTAGTATGTTAAGCTAATGTATGAGCTGTCTGCCCAAGCAGCTCCACTCATCAGTAATTTGATTTAATATGTATAGACCTGGTTGCAGCTCAGTAAACGAGGAACATAATATAGTAACATTTTACAAAGAGTTCTGGATATCCCCAATTCATCACTCTTGTCAAAATGAATGGTAAAACTCCTCAGTTTTTAGAATTATCTATTGATTACATGCATGGGCAGCACAAAGTGGAAGAAGAAAACAGAAAATCTGATCTGTCTCCAGCTCCTGTAGGGATGGTGACTTATTTTTTCATAGTAGAGAATTTGTAATGATTTGCTTAGCCAAAGTGTTCTACAACATGTGAATGCACAGGGGAAACGTTTCCTTTTTTATTTAAAATTACAAAATGTTCAAGGGAAATGTTAGCAAACGTGAAGTTTTTTGTATGGAAAATATGAATGATTATTTAAGTTTCAATTTGAAAAGCTTCCTGCTGGAAACTGACTTATTTCTTATTCTTCTTTTGAGAAACATGAGTTTGCTGACCAGGAAGCAGGGAAAATCTCATGACTCTTGTGATGTAAAAAAATGAACACAGAGAAGGACGTGGAAAAAAACCACAGAACTCCTGAAATGAATTGTTCATAAAGAACTGCATTTTGAAAAGTGTTTGCAGGAATCTTCTAAGTGTGGAATGTAGAGTAGTCTGGTTTCATGTACAAACGCAAAAGGGTTAGATACCAAAGCTGTCTTGCACCCTTACTCTTGCTGTTTGTTGTGAGGAGATGCAGCATTCAGATCCCAAAAGTAATGGTGAAAATATTGAGAGGTTGGTTACGTTTTAAACCTTCAAGTGTAACTGTTCTCAAATGTTTTATTTTTTTTTCTGCTTTTAGCTGACTTGAAGAACACTGTGCCTAACCTGTGTCCACCTGTCAGTTTACCTCTCAGGTCAGAAACTGGTAAGTGTATTCATATATCAAGCAAAAAAAAAGAAGGAAATATCCCCTATTTTATATGCCTTGCAAAAAGATCAAACAGTAATGAAATGGCTATGTTCCCATGAGTTTACTCATTCAGATGTTTACTAATTTTCTAATTTTTATGAATTGTGTGTCATTTAAACAGAACTGGTGTCAGCCACAACGCTGGCCTAATATCTCTCGACTCACTGCCACAAGAGGTCACTGAGGCAAAAAGTATTTAGCATGATTGATGAAGAAATGTATCATTTGTAAATGTGGATACCACATTGCTTGTGATGGGTATCACTTAAGATTTTAGTGCAGTCACCAGTGAAGAAAAGCTCTGGCAAGAAGCTGTTTATTGAGTTATCATCCATTGCTGTGGGGTTTCTTGTAGCTTCTGGTGCTTGCCAAGATGGCAAGGAGTGTCAGGTTAGACAAATGACCAGCAGCTGCTGTCAGTAATGCTCAATGCAAGGAGCTATGATGAGTTTTCAAATTGATACAGCAATAGAGATGCAAAGCCAAATCTAGCAGATCTAGTTTTCCCCTTTAAAGCTTTACGTCTTCAAAGCAAGCTGATGAAAGGAGCAATTCCCCAGGAAATACATGCTGGTGTATACCACTTTATAACTGATGGTGAAGAATGATAAGCTGTACTGCTTTTAGTCCTTGTTCGTGGTTTCCTGCAACAATGGGATTATCTCAAGAATTATTCTGAAGTGGATCACAAGAAATGTAGTATTTGAGGTGTGTGTTGGGTCTGACTTTTGGAGAGATGGTGTAACTTGCTATGATACCATCTTTCTTGTATTGGGAAGGAAATTTGTTTCAGTCTTGCAGTAAATGACTCTTCTGGTACTCACATATGTTATTTTAAAAGTGGGTGGATCCTCTTAATAAATGAAACTTGACTGCTGCCTTTCAGGGCTTTGTGTCTATTACCCCCTAAAAATATATGCAAATTGTCAACAGCTACAGGCTTCCCTGGTTTGTCCTTTCCAGAAATACACAGTATATCTGCTAAAAGCTGCATGTAACGGAAACAGGTTGGCTACTCATTAGACAACACAGTTTAACTATCAGGTTAGATTGAAATGGAGAAGTCTGCTTTTGATTTCTGCTTTTCTCTCAGTACATTTATTAATCTGCTTGTGTCCATCTTTCCTTAAGCTATATGCAACTGGGCTTGCACAAGGGGGTTAGTATTTGCAAAGAACTTTCAGTATTGGGTTCAGAATTTACTGTGAACTGTTTTATCACCATAACTATGACCACCAGTCATGATCGTGTTCAGATCATTTGTATTTATTAGTAGAATTGGCACTTTTTAAATGGTAGTTGTAATGTAATAGAAGGAAAACTCCTATCTTTATAGGTAAGCAGAAGTAATTTTTGTGTGAAATGCTCTGAGGAGCTAGTGGGGTAACGTGTAGGTTAGGCCATTGATCTCCTTTGCCAACTGTTTTGTTTTTCCCGTGGGATGTAGAAAACTGCTTTATTAAAGCTTTTTTTCTCCCAGTGTAAAACTTAGTAGTAATTTTGTAATGTTCCTTTTATGTTTTTCTTGCTTTCTTAATTCTAGGAGAACAGTGACCTAAGCAGCACCTAGGGAAAATAGGCCCTTTTGTCCCATTGGCTTTCTTCTTTAAAGACTGCCCAGAACTCAGCCACAGCAAGTGAGGTGTGCAACTTTCCCTTAGTAACAATCTTGACCTATCACACGTGTTTCCAGGTCATCTTTCCAAGTGCAGGGCAACTAAGGAAGTCTCTGGTTTGCAAAGGTCTGGTTAACCACCCTCGTGAGCAGAGCCTTCCACTAAGAGGCAGGATTGTGGATAAATGCAGTTGTCCTGAGGGCAGCAGGCAGGAGAATTCACTGAATTACTAAGAGTGCAACTAGCTTGGATATCAAATTAGCACTAGTACCCTCTACTCTTTGGGCTTCAAACAACAGCATGTGCAGTGATGCATTAGAAATACAACTGGGAACCATCTGCCCTTCTTATGTTCTGCTTCATTTTGATACTAAAAGTACCAGCCTGGTTATTTAGGTCAGATTGTTCTCTGTGTCACGTTGTCAGAGATTTTGGAAATTTTTCATAAACATTGTTTCCGAACCCGTTATGATTATCTATGTTATGTTAATATATGCTAGAGATGATTAATGGGTTTAGAACTGGGCATCACAGAAAATCTTGCAGTGACTGAATTTGCTACATTGTGGTAGTGCTTGTACATGGGGAAAAATATAATACTGTGACTCCTGTGTGGTAACCAGAGGGTGAGTGTGAGAAAATGTCACTATTTAAAGGGCACTCTTGTGAGTGGGGATATATGTGTGTGTATGCATGCAAGCACACACACACACACACACATATATATATTAACTTTCCATCAATATATCAGAAAGATAATAAAATTTGCCAGAAGTCTCTGTGAAATAGTGCAGTTAATGTCATGACCAGTTTAGAGTCTCAGTTTACTGAAGCACAGTTAAGACCTGTATTTTAATAGACAGTTTATGTATTTGACTGACTCATTTTCTAGTTGCCCAATCTGCAAAGCTCAGGACAGCTTGCCCAGCTCTTTGCTTGCTCCCATTTGCAGCCAGGCTACAAAGCACTCCTTCATTTGAGTCTGTGGTGTTTCCAACCCCAACACATCATGAAGAAACCCAGATTAGCAGATTTACTGTCAGTCTCATGGAAAGTGGATGCTTTGCTTGTTTTACTCACTGTACTTGACAGGGAGAGTGAAGGCTTTTAGGACCATAGAACAATGGAAAAAGCCTCAACAAGAAGGGTTTCTACATGTACATGGGCTGCAAAAGAAAGAGTAGGGACAGCTGGACAGGAGACCTGATGACAACAGATACAGAAAAAGCTGAGGTACTTAGTGCTTTTTTTGTCTCTGTCTTTCCTGCTAAGTCCAGCTGTTGGGCCCTTGAGAACAGGGTGAAGGCCACAGAAAGATGACTTACCCTCAGAGGAGGAGGATCAGGCTGGGGAACATGCTAGACATACAAGTTCAAGAGGCCTGGTGGGGTGCACCGGTGAGTGCAGAGGGAGCTGGTTAATGCCATTGTGAGGCCATTCTCAATTACCTTTGAAAGGCCCTGTTGATGGGGGATGTTCTTTAAGCTGGTGAGGAAAGGAAATGTCACCTCTGTCTTCAAGAAGGGCAAGAAAGAAGAACCAGGGAACTATAGGCTGATGAGCCCCACCTTGATCCCTGGGAAGGTAATAGAGCAACTGATCCTGAACATAATTTCCAGACGTGTCAAGAACAAGAAGGTGATTGGGAGTAGTCATCATGGATTTATGAATGAAAAAAAACAAGCTTCACCAAACAGATAGTCTTCTACAAGCAAGTGACTAAGTGGATAAGGAGAGAGCAGTAGGTGCTGTTTATCCTGACTACAGAAAGGTTGTTGATGTTGTCTCACATGACATCCTCACAAAAACTGATGAAGTAAGGTCTAGAAAAGTCAAGAGTGAGGTGGGCTATATGTTGGCTGGACTGCTGGCCACAGAGTTGTAATCTAGCTGGAGGCAGTCACTGGTGTACCCAGAGAGCTGATACTGGGACTAGTGCTGTTTAATGTCTTGAATAATGAGCTGGATAATGGCACAGAGTTCACTTGCAGTGAGTTTGGAGATGATGAAAGGATGGGAGGAGTGACTGACAGACCAGATGGAAGTGCTACTATTCACTGGGACCTCAACAGGCTGGAGAAATGGATAGACTAAAATCTTGAATCAAGCTGTCTTCCTTTAAGTTGTTTTTTAGCTTTGTCTGAATACCAGCTATAACTTTCATCTAGCAATTGTTTGGAGAGCTGTTTTAATATTTAGCCTTCTGAGAAGACAGGTCTTCTCTCTCATGTTCACACATTGCTTCAGCTTTTCTCATTCAAACTAACAGAACTGTTGCTTTCTTTGCTGACTTTCCTTAGGTGGTTAGGAGAGCAGGATTTGCAAGCTGAGGTGACATTTTATATTAGCTGGTTTATGTAGTTGCAAAGAGGTATTTTCTGAGCAATCTGGGACATCCCACAGGAGAACAGGTTCTTAAATACTAGCTTCTCCATCTCTACCCTTATGGAAGGATGTCACTTCAGATTTGAGCAACTTTCTCCTGTGAAGATGTCAAAGTGCTGCTCTTTAATTTAAAAACCTACAAAAAACCCACAAACAAATCTATCAATGTTCTCTATTTTCCCCCTGAATAAACTGGAGAACACTCTTTAAAAGAAAATTTTATGGTGCCAAAACCATTTTCTATGTCAGTTTGTTCTACAGTGAAGCCAGCTCTCCCAGTCTTTGAACTGTCACCAGGACTTAATTTTTTGCACTTTGTACAGCATTTAAACTCAGAATCTCACTAGGTTTCTTTTGTTTGTTTTGAGTATAATCTTTAACTGCCCAAAGTTATCAAGGGACAGGTAGAATGATTTGGTTTATCCTACTATCTTCCTGACTGTAGAAATCCTTGAGCCAACAGGTTGAAAGGTACTGTCTAGTCCTGTTAATCCTACCATACATATTGGGCAGATTTGTTGCAGTCATTATAGGTTTAAAAAAGAAAAGTTGAGAACAAATTCTATTGTTTCATTGAAATAATTTATTGGAGGTTTGTTCACTGAAATGATCCCTAAATAAATTAAGGAAAAGCATGTATTTGTTTTTCTTTTGTCCCACAATCTGGGTTTTTGAAGATGTTAATGAGCAAAAATCTTCATAAAACCTCTAGATGTTTGAATCTGCAATGGAAAAACCTATTTTCATTAACAGTTTCATTTCATACCCAGTCACAGAGCAGCTTTGTGGCCACCTGGAAAATGAAAATAATAATAATAAAAAATAATTTTAAAAAAAGACAAACTCCCCCCCCCATGTCTCAGGAGAGGCACAACAAGAGGGAAGGCATGAGATTCTCCCCATTTTTGACCTGCCCATTGTGTCCTATCCACTTAGTAGAAGGTACTCCTGCCC